CTGCTTCCATGGGTGTTGACTGTGCATCCAGGTAAAATGAAATCCTTGTCAACTTCCATTTTTTCTCCGTTTATCATGATGTTGCTTATTCATCCAGTTGTGAGGATTTTTGTTTTCTTTATGTTGAGGTGTAATCCACACTGAAGGCTATAGTCTTCTATCTTTGTTGGCAAGTGCTTTAAGTCTTCTTCACTTCCAGCAAGCAGGGTTGTGTCATCTGCATATCGCAGGTTGTTAACGCGTCTTTCTCCAGTCTTTATGCCTTCTTCTTCATACTGTCCAGCTTCTTGGATTATTTGCTCAGCATACAGATTTAATAAGTAAGGTTAGGATACAACCCTGACACACACCTTTCCTGATTTTAACACGTAGTATGCCTTTCTTTTGTTCAAACGACTGCCTCTTGGTCTATGCACAGGTTCCTCATGAGCACAGGTAAGTGTTCTGAAATTCTCATTCTTTGCAATGTTATCCATGATTTGTTATGATCCACACAGTCGAATGCCTTTGCATAGTCAATAAAACACAGATAAACATCTTTCTGGTATTCTCTGCTTTCAACCAAGATCCACCTGACATCAGCAATGATATCCCTCATTCCACATCCTCTTCTGAATCCAGCTTGAATTTCTGGCAGTTCCCTATCGGTGTACTGCTGCAACCATTTTTGAATTATCTTCAGCACAATTTTATGTGCATGTGATATTAACGATATTGTCTGATAATTTCCACATTATGTGGGATCACCTTTCTTTGGAATGGGCAGGAATATGGATCTCTTCCAGTCAGTTGGCCAGGTAGCTGTCTTTCAAATTTCTTCGCATAGATGAGTAAGCACCTCCAGCATTGCATCCATTTGTTGAAACATCTTAATTGGTATTCCGTCAGTTCCTGGAGTCTTCCTTTTCACCAGTGCCTTCAGTGCAGCTTAGACTTCTTCCTTTAATACTGTTGGTAACTGATTAGATACTGTCTCCTGAAAAGACTGCATTGACCAATTCTTTTTGGTACAGCAACTCTGTGTATTCCTTCCATCTTCTTTTGATGCCTCCTGTGTCCTTGAATATCTTGCCCATAGAATACTTCAGTATTGCAATTCGAGGCTTGAATTTTTTCCTCAGTTCTTTCAGCTTGAGAAATGCCGAGCATGTTCTTCCCTTTTGATTTTCTAACTCCAGGTGTTTGCACATGTCATTATAATACTTTACTTTGTATTTTTGAGCTGCCCTTTGAAATCTTCTGTTCATTTCTTTTACATCATCATTTCTTCCATTCACTTTAGCTACTCTATGTTCAAAAGCAAGTTTCAGTGTCTCTTCTGACATCCATTTTGGTCTTTTCTTTCCTTCCTGTCTTTTTAATGACCTTTTCCTTTCTTCACGTACGGTATTCTTGATGTCATCCCACAGCTCGTTTGGTCTTCTGGCATTAGTGTTCAGTGCATCAAATCTGTTCTTGAGATGTTCTCTAAATTCATGTGGGATATACTCAAGGTTGTACTTTGGCTCTTGTGGACTTGTTTTAATTTTCTTCAGCTTCAACTTGAACTTGCGTATAAGCAATTGATGGTCTGTTCCGCAGTCGGCCCTTGGCCTTGTTCTAACTGATGATATTGAGCTTCTCTATCTTCTCTTTCACTAATGTAGTAGATTTGATTCCTGTGTCTTCCATCTGGCGAGGTCCACATGTATGGTTGCTGTTTATGTTGTTGAAAAAAGGTATTTGCAATGAATAAGTCATTGGTCTTGCAAAATTTATGTGATCTCCAGTCAATGCATCCTCATTGCATGTTTGATCAATTTCAGACTGCAGAAGTTAATCTTCAGTTTCTTCATCTTTGGCCTTAGTGGCTGATGCGTAAATTTGAATAATAGTCATACTAACTGGTCTTCCTTGCAGGCATCTGGATATTATCCTATCACTGACAGCGTTGTACTTCAAGATAGATCTTGAAATGTTCCTTTTTGATGATGAATGTGATGCCATTCCTCTTCAATTTGTCATTCCCAGCTTAGTAGACCATATGATTGTCTGATTCAAAATGGCCAGTACCAGTCCATTTCAGCTGACTAATGCCTAGGATATCGATCTTTATGCATTCCATTTCATTTTTGATGACTTCCAATTTTCCTAGATTCATATTTCATACATTCCATATTCTGATTATTAATGGATGTTTGCAGCTGTTTTTTTCTCATTTTGAGTCATGCCACAGTGTTAGAGTGGGACCATGCAAATAAGGTGTATGGAACCCTAATGAGGGGATTGGTCAGTTTTGCCATCCTGCTAGTCTGAAAATGAGCCATCCCAGAGTCAGACAGAGGGGACCCTCACTACCACAAAGAATAAGAGATGGGAGTGGAGTGTGTCCTTTGGACCCAAGTTCCCTGCGCTGAGAACTTCCTAGACCCAGGAGACAAGGAGAGAGCTGTAACACCACAGATGGCCTAAGACAGCGCATGGACTTTCTGCCCATGGAGTACGGCAGGTACAGGCAGGTACAGTAGGTGTGCCGACCCACAGAGCAGGAGCGTTGAGTGCCTGCAGGCAGGAAGCTTCCTGTGGAGTGGGGTGCCTTTGTGTACTTGTCAGCGGAGCTAGGCTTGCTGACCCACGGAGCAAGAAAGCTGAGTGCCTTTGGGCCAAGGCTTGCTGGCAGAGTGGGGTGCCCTCAGGAACTTACTGTCAGAGCGAAAGGGCTTTGTAACACTTTCCTAAGCAGGTCAGGGGCCAGGCCAAGGGGCTGTGGGCCTGAGAGGCCTGCCTATGGCATGGCTGAGAAGAGGCTGTCCTGACTGAATTGTATCCTAAGTCATTTCTGATCCTGAATTGTAACCTGTTACTTCCCTTATAAACCCCATAACTGTCAGTAGGGTCTGCGAGTTCTGTATGGCCATCGTAACAAATTATCAAACCCAGCAGAGGAGTAGAGTGCCGTGGGAAGGATGGCTGGTGTCAGAATTGCTAAAGTTGGAGAGAGGAGGTATGGCTGACCTCTGCCTCATAGGAATCAGCCTTAGGCTGTTGAAGCTGATGGTGATTGTCTCTCCCCCTCTGAAGTTAGAGGAGGTCAGATGCCCCCAACATGCCATTTTTACAGAAATGTTCCCTTTTTCATAATTATTGTACCTCCCAGTAACCCCAAGAAGTTGTTAACTTTAAAAACTGAGTCCTGGATTCTGTGAATTAATAGTAAATAAATAGATCACAGACTTATAGAAAATGGGAGGTGAACCTATTATTAAAATTCTTGTAAATATCATTTATTAAATGAATAGATTTTTAATTTATCCTTCTGATGAGTATTTTTTTTAACTCTTTAAGTATAGTCATTGAAAATGTTTTTCAGAAATCAGAATCTGTTTATGAAAAGTGCTAGTCAAACTTGTTAATAGCTTTTCTAAGTTTCACAATTAACTGTGAAATACATGCTAATGGGGCAAGACTGTAACCAGTTAGCATTTTTGTATAATGTCAGTTGTATTCGCAACACTCAATAAACAGTCCTTGGAAGGGGTGTCATTCATCAGTCATGTATGCCAGTTGGGTGTGTATTATGCGTCGAGTGTGGGGGATTATTATGGAAAAATACGAGCTGAATTAAATAACAAGGGTTATGTAAGGGGGTGATTAAACTTATGACTAGCTACAATCTTACATGACTAATCCTCTTAATAGTATCAACCCAGTTTGCAGGTGTCCAAAGGCAGCATTTCCCCCAGATGGGAGCTGCTTCGACAAAGCTACAGTGAATAGAGTTTATGTTAAAATAGGATTTAATTTTTCAAAAAAAAATCTTAGATTTTGTCCATCTTTAAAACTCAAGTGAGGTGAACTTGACCTATTTCTTTTTTAATGTAGTAGCCTTTGATATGCATGCTAATAAGGATGAGAGGTGACAGTTGTTTTAGATGATTTCTCAGGTCTAAATCAAAGAGTTCCAAAATAACAAAGGGTATTAAAATTTTAGTTCTGTTTAGTGGGGTAAAAAGAAGATTATAAAATAGGATATTCAGTATAAGTTTATGTAACATATTGTACATGTATTTATACATAACTAAATATACATGTAGAATAT